TCCCTGTTTAAAACTCTTTATTGGTTTCCTCTTTGAACTCGGAACAAAATCCAACTCCTCAACCCACCTACGAGACCCACAGTACCAGCCTTTGCCTCTTTTTCCCCTCACCGTGAGGTCACAGTGGCCCACTCTTTTGGTTCTGTCGAGCCGAGGTGTCTGGACCTCAGAGTCTTCACACAGGCCTGTCCCCCAGCCTGGAATGTTCTCTTCCCCAACCATTCCCAGGGCTGGCCCTGCTCAGCTTAATCATTAAGCATGACTCTGCTTAATCACCTCCTGCAGAGCCCTTCCCTAACCTCTTGGGCTTTCTTGCTTTCTAGCCCGCCTCTCAACTTGTAGTTACACATGCGTGTGTCCTTGTTTGGTGTTTGTGTGTGTCATGGGGGCAGTGACGACGTCTGCCTGGTTCCCTGGGCACCTCCAGCCTTTGATATTATTAAATGACACTGATGAGTGCAACGCGATGTGTTAAATGATAAGAAAGGGGTGTGGTAGCAAAGACTTGACTTAGAAAAAATGGAGAGCCCTGAGGACCAGTGTTTTCGACTTGGCCCCGTGGTGGCCTTACTCACTCATCAACTCCCCATTTCACACTTCTCCCCCTGGTGCCCATGAAACGTCATCGCTCACATCACAGCTCAAATGTACACCCTTTGAGACCCTCCTCGCCCTGAAATTACTCATTTTCCTATGTGTGGGCAGTTCTTGTTTGTACCATTGCACCCTTGCTAGTTGTGTAGTGCTTGTTCCCTTGTTAGTTCACAGCTGCTCTGATAGGAAGGGCTTTGTTTTGTGTGTCTTTTATTGATGCAGTTTCTGGCCCGTAGTAGTTCCTAGTAAACGGCAACTTCTTAAGCAACCCTGAATCCAGAATTTGGCAAATGCATCCGTGCTCTCCCAGGAAAATCAGACAAAGCAGCAAATAACTACAGGACCTTGGAAAATAGTTTCTGGTGTATGTGGAAATCCAGCCTGAGAGTACAGAATTGGGGCTAGTTAAGGGGAAAGGCCAATTGGGATTCTAGAAATATTCTTAAATAAACATAACAGTAATACTCCCAGGATCATATTGTAACTCATATTGACTGCCTGAAAGGACTTCCAGGTAGAAGTCCTGTCACCTTGTCTAACAAATGGATGAGAAGTGTGTACTTTAGGTGCAATGAGGTAGAGACTGCCTGAGTCCTTGGACAGTGTAGGGAATAATACATCCTCCTTGGAACCTTGTCAGTGTGAATAATTGACCTGGAAACCTGCATCTTTCAAAGAATGAAAGATAAACCTGATTAGCTCAGGTTCAAATGTCAGACTTTTGTGAGGAGTGAGGTTTGCTAAGTGAGCGAATGTGACTGTGGGTAATACGGAAACTTGCTCCGAAACTAAGGCAAGAAAAAAACTTCTGGGTACCTCTGACCTCCTCAACTTTCCTCTGGTTTTGCTTTAGCCTCTCCCCACCCCACACTGTGTAACTGTCACTGCCTTATGTTTCTTTATTCACCTGACAAACATTTACTGGAAAAATCTTACCATTCGTGTGCCATGCCCTGAGCTATGCCCTGGAGGGATCACAGTGCCTCCTGAACCACCAGAAGACCACCTCGAGGACAGTCACCCCTCTCGCCAGAGGCTTCAAAGGAACTGCAGTTTAATTCCAATTATTTGAGTGAGTTTCCTAAAGAAAACAAAAAATCAAACAAACAAAACCCACAAAAACAGCAACAAAAGCTTCTCAAGTAGAATAATAAAATATTTCATTTCTGTATTAAAATATTCTCACACAAATTGGAAAACTCAAAACAAGAAGATACTGTATCCGTTGGCATAGTTCTAGTGCACACAATAATTGGAAGATGTGCATGTAAATCTGAATGTACCTTTGAATATCACATTTGGGAAAATGTCCTGTGGATATAAAATGCTTATATGCTCACAGCCACAGAGTTATAATAATCATCGTTGCAGTGGTGATTCTGTATAGTTCTCGATTTCTCCAATATTTTCTTTGTGTCTACTCTGTACCAAGCCTCTGCTAGATACTATGGGGGATAACAAGACATATCATAGCAAGATATATAATTTCTGTCCCCAAGGTATTTGTGAGCAAGCTGGTGTGAAGAGAACTGACAGAATGGGGTGTTTAGTCTCCATGGTTAACATGAGGTGTTCAATATATCTTAGAGTTTAGGAGAATATTTAGAATTTTCAGAGGGCTCTGATATCCTTACTTCATCTTCCCCAAAGTCTAGTAAGGTAAGCACACTTGGTGTTGTGGAGCCATTGACAGAAATGTAGACTAAGGCAAGAGAGAAAAACGGACCTCTGCCCCTAGAGAAGCCCAGGTCCTTTTTCTAGAAGGCGTCATGGTTACGTGTTACACGGGCCTCCTGTTGGTGCCACGCTGCTACACACTCGCACTGTCAGACAATCACTTGGGACACAGTCAAGGTGTCAGTAGGGCCATGCTCCTTCCTGGAGGCTCTAGGGAGGATATTTTCATTTCTTTTTTGTTGTGATAACATTTGAGATCCAATCTTTTAGGGGAGAATCCGTTTACTTGCTTTTTCCAGATTCTGGAAGCTGTCCACATTGCTTGTTTTGTAGCCCCTCCGTGGGTCACCCTGATTTCTGCTTCCCTCATCACATCTCCTTCCCTGACTCTCCTGCCTCGGTGTTTCTCTTATAAGGATTCTTGTGATTACATTGGGCCCACCCAGATAATCCAGGATAATCTCCTCAAGATTTTTAACATAATCATATCTGCAAAGTCCCTCTTGCCCTAGGCATTCCGAGCCTCCAGAAGAGATTAGAACATGGACATCCTTCAGTGAAAAGGGGCATTATTCTGTCTACCACAGTCTAGAAGAAATGACAGGAAAAAGTTAGTGACTTTAGGTTGCAAAGTTTTTAAAATTAGACACACACAAAAAACATGATCTGAAAAAAAGAAATCCATGCATTGGGTTTCATCACAATTAAAACCTTTTGCTTTTAAAAAACATTGTTAATAAAAAGGCAAGATGCAGGCTGGAAGAAGCTATTTGCAAAACATATATCCAACAAAAGACTTGTATCTAGGATATATAAAGAATTCTTACAACTCAATAAGAACACAACCCAGTATTTTTTAGTGGGCAAAAAATCTGAACTGACACTTCACAGAGAAGATGTACAGATAGAAAAAAGCACACAAAAAGATGCTCAACATCATATGTCATTAGGGAAAAATGCAAATTAAGACCACAATGTGATACCGCTTCACACATACTGGGATGGCTAAAATTAACAAAACTGACGATAGCAGATGTGGGTGAGGGAGTGGAACATCTGGACTGTCATATATTGCTGGGGGTGGTGTAAAAGGGAATGGAGAACAGTTTGCAGTTTCTTAAGAAATTAAACCTATACCCCTACCATATGGCCCAGTCATTCCAGTCCTCAGTATTGACTCAAGAGAAATGAAAGCACATGTCTGTACAGAATTGTACAGCATTATTTGAAAAGCCAAAAACTGGGAACAACTCAAATGTCCCTCAGCAGGTGAGTGGATAAACACATTGTGGTATATCTATACAACAGAACACTACTTAGCAATAAAACCAGTTATTGACACATGCAACATAGATGAATCTCAAAATAATTGTGCTGAGTGAAAAAAGCCGGACAAAAAATACATACTGTATGATTCCATTTATATGGAATTCTAGAAAATACAAATTAATCTATAGTAGCAGAAAGCAGATAAAGATCGCCTGGGGATGGAGGGGAGATGAGAGGGAGGGATTATAAAGAAGCATGAGGGAACTTTTGGAAGCAAGAGAAATGTTCACTATCTTGCTCGTGGTCATGGTTTCACAGATGTATGACGGTTTCACACAAACTTTAACTGTACACTTGAAAAATGTGCAGTTACTTATGTCAATTATACCTCAATAAGGTTGTAAAAAAGATAGTGAAAGGGAGGGAAGGAAGGAAGGGAGAGAAGGAGGAGAGAAGAAAGAAAGGAAGGCAGTGTCAACTTAGGAAAATGCACAACGTGAGAGCTGTGAGCTAAGATTCATTTGGGGCAAAATGAGGACTATAGCCCGGGAACGGTTTCTCAGAGCTCTACATTCCTTTAAACATATGCTCTTAAACAAACCATTGTTGAGTTCACATTAAAAAAAAAAAGAAAAGGAAATTCCCAGGGGAAAAAGAGGGGGGTGGAGCTAAAAAGAATGAAGTACGATGATAGATAGAAACCCAAATAAATGCTCGCTGGTTAAACTCTCTGGTTAAGCGATTGAAATGTTGGATCTTGAAAACCCAGCTCTATGTTAGTTATGAAAAACACACCTAAGGAACATAGAAAGACTGAAAAAGAAAGAATGGAAAAATATATACTAGGCAAATACTAACCCAAAGAAAGTTGATGTAGGTTTATTAGAGAAGACAGCCTTGAAAGTAGAAACTTTTATTAGGGATAAAGAGAGTTACTAAGAAATAATAAAAAGAGCCAGAACTTGTTTATGCACCTACTAACATAACACTGAAACGTGTCAACTGAAAGATGACAGAACTAAAAGAGGAAATTGACAAACGCAGCACTACAGAGGGTGATTTCAACGTACTTAATAGCAGATGAAAAACTAGTCAAATTATGAGGATTTGACAAGGATTTAACACTGAACAAGCTTGATGAGCTATTATTAAATCCTGAATGAACAAGCAGCGAATACACGATCTTTTCAAACACCCATGGAACACTTATGAAACAGTGTTACAGAACCAGGTCCGTTTTGCCGTCTGCCAGCAAGCCAAAACGCTGACGGGACGCTTGCAGCAGGAGACTCTTGGTTTTTTGGGGGTTTTTTTGCGGTATGCGGGCCTCTCACTGTCGTGGCCTCTCCCATTGTGGAGCACAGGCTCCGGACGCGCAGGCTCAGCGGCCATGGCTCACGGGCCCAGCCGCTCCGCGGCATGTGGGATCTTCCCGGACCGGGGCACGAACCCGTGTCCTCTGCACCGGCAGGCGGACTCTCAACCACTGCGCCACCAGGAAAGCCCTAGGAGACTGTTTATTCGTTTATTTTGTCAGGCAGCCAAGCGTGAAGACTGCATACCAAATCTCAAATCCGCCTCCTGAAAGCGGGCCTCGGGGTATTTAGGGGCTAAAGAATACAGCGTGGGGAAAGGTGATTGGAAAAAGGTGTGATAATCGCAGTTCTGTGCAGCCATAACTAAGCTGCCCGCCTCTGCAGATTCAAAAGGTCACTGAGCGGACACTGGAGCAGGTCCCGTTGAAGGGTCGGGGTCCCATGCAGTCTTAACCAGCTCAGCTTCAACTAGACAGCTGACTCTGCAAAACAACGAGGCAAACATCTTACTGTTTAGGCTTATTGCTACTGGGAGGAAACGCAAGTCTTTTGTAGAAACAATTAAAATGACTTTGATTAATGAAGGCAGATTACAAGTGACACGGATTTAACTAATGATTACCGGTGGTTTCAACAGGAGCTTGTACCGTGCCATAAAGCCAGTTTCAACTAATCTCAAAGAAACATACAGACCACACTCTCTGATTACAATGTAATTCAATAGAAATCAGAAACAAAAAGATAACCAAAACCTACTTCTAAATAAATTATGGGTCAGAGAACAAATCATAACGGAAGTTAGAAAAACAATGGAACTGCAAGATAATGCAAATACCACCTATTAAAACTAATGGCTTGCAACTGAATTTGTATTTAGAAGGGATATGTCTTGTCATCAAATACTAATGTTTTTTAAAGACTGAATGGGAGATGAGGAAGTGTGGAGATAAAATGTAAATTGTATTACTGAGGAGTTTGAAAAGGGAAGATGATGGGGTGCTCTGGGGGATGGGGGCAGGAATTCTGATGGAGAGAGGTTTGTTGCCCGGTGACTGAAGGTGAGGGAAGAAGTGAAAGTCGGGAGGGTTGGGGGCAGGGTGCTGGAGCCCATTTGTCAACACCATTCTCAACTCCCCAATGTACTGTCTGGCACCACTTCATCCCTCTGTGCAAACACCCACTGCATGCAGCTCTCTGTTTCTTACAGGAGAAAGTCCAAACACCTTGCCCTAGTGTCTGAAGCCTCACAAAATTATAGAGATAAGACAATTAGGAAGTGCCAGGCCTGTGACAAAATAAAGAGAGCTTTTTTGCTTAAAAACATTCAAATCTGACCCACCTCTAACCCCCAGACATAACTCTGAGCTTCAGCAAAAAGAACACTTTTGCCTGTAGATTCAATCCCCAGACCATCCCTGAGGGATAACCTTGAAATTATATGGATTTGTGCTGAGAAGTTACATATTTGAGAATTACTCCTGAAACAACTCAGGGGGCAAAAAAAAACTTTCTTCATAAGATTTAGAATCTAATATTCAACCAAATCAGATGCTTTTTTTAAAAAAGGTACTCTTCATATTCAGCATTTAAACACTTTAAGGAATATTAAAGCTGGATTTCCAGTGATCTTGCACAGACTATACCAATTTTGTAATCTGAGAGAGTTTAGAGGGGTCCCCCCAACCCCGTCCCCAACAAAGGCTTTTTATTTTCGTTGAAACAGAGTGAGATCTCGTGCCAGCATACCTGGAAGTCAAAGAAAGTCTTGACTCTCATCAAGACCGAGGCAGGGAGTACAGTTCCTTTAACTGGCAGTGTCCTGGGTCACCATGCTGAGCAGGGGGTGGGGTCAGGAGTGAGACCTCTGACATCTTGGCGTAGTCAATGTCCAGATCATTGGTCATTTGGAATTTGGGACTTTGGAATTCTCTGGGCCTGAAACGTGAGTATTGATGCCCATATGAGTCTGTGAGGTGACATCGAGCTATGACAGAGCTGAGGAAACGCTCTATGGTCAAGGGGTCCCTTCCCAGTTTAATAAAAGGTCGGCGAGGTGAGGGAACGGAGGTGCTCTTGACGGCAGGAGTCACTGAGCAGAAGCAGAAGTCTCTGTAGGCCAGAGACTGTTGTTCCTGCCGCAGTGAGGGGCCTGCCACCTGGGAGTTGGACCACGGGAGCACGTGCCTGCAGTGGACTTGGGGGAGACCAGGGCTTCCCTAATTCCTCCCTCTTCTTGGATATCACGTGGCCACCACACAGCCCTGCTTTCCAAATGGTTTGACTTTTAATGTTTCCTTTCCTATTCCCAACTCCTTTCTGCTTTGCGACATATTCGAAACTATAGTATCATATTATCTCCGATTTTCTGAATCTACCCTGTAGCTTAAATACCTCACACATCACATGCTTTGGTGTTTGTCTGCTTTTCTCCTCTTAGGTAAAGAGGATTAAAAGCAATTTTATTTTGAGAAGCCTCTAATGACAAGTCCTCAGAACCTGTGCTTGGGAAGGGCTGGTTGAGTGAACAGCTTCTGTACCAAGTTTGTGCAAAGGAGCCTTAGCTAGACGCAGGGCCAAGTGGTTGTCCTACTCCGAGCCTGGGGAATCTTTGGAGCGTCTGAGAACTGAATGCTGGGTACAGCGTTATCACAAAGTTCAAGGTGTTGTTGTATGTATAATACATGCTATAACCAAGATACATGGATGAATCTCTAGAGTATTATGCTGAGAGAAAGAAGCCAGCCCCCAAAGAATACATACTGCATATTCTGGTCATCTGAAACTAGAAAAGGCAAATCTAGACTGTGTGGCAGAAACAGGGCACAGGGAGGGAGAGGGTCTCGGGTGGCCTCGGCCTGCAGAGGCTTGAAGCAGGCTTTCTGTTCCCCGCCAGAGTTTGAGGTCAGGCGGCAGCTGTGAGAGTGCTGAATCCTAGCCACTAGACCACCAGGGACCAGTGGCCAGTGACAAGGCCCTGGCCCGTCAGCTGTGTAGAAATGAATTTCCACATAGAGACAGAAAGTAGTGAAGCAAGTGAAGTGTTTATTAAGAGGAAAAAGGGTACGTGTGGATAGACACACGGGCGGGCTCAGAGAGAAAGTCACGCCCTCGTGGTAGTTTGAATCAATTTTATGGGGCATTTCTTCCAGGTTTCCTTTGACCAGTCATCTTGCTTTGCCTGATACTAAGTCTGTATTTGGTACCAAACATCTCAGGGTCCTCCCATGAGTGTGGGCACATCTCTTAGCCAAGATGGATTCTAGCGAAGAGGCCTGTGGGAAGGTTGACATCACCTACTATGGGGTGGCGCCCCCTCCCTTTTTGACCCCCAAGGAGCCTTTCTGCACATGTGTAGTAGGGAAGGTCTCTTTGACTTTGAGAACGAGGAATATGTGGGGTTTTTTATCTCTTATCTGGGCAGGGTCCGGCCTCCTCTCTCGCTCCTGCTGTTGTGGAGTTTCTGTCCACAGGGAAGAAACTTCAGCTGTTCAGCCTGGGGCCCATCTATCTCCTGCCTCAAGATGAGGAGTGACTGGGGAGGGTCAGGGACTTCTTTGGGGAAAGGAAATAGGATTTTTACCATGGTGGTAGTTACATGGGTGTATACATTTGTCAAAACGCTCAGAACTGTACACTTTTTTTTTTTTTTTTTTGACTGCATCGGGTCTTAGTTGCAGCACGCGGGACCTCCGTTGAGGCATGTGGGATCATTTTCGTTGTGGTGCACGGGCTCTTCGTTGCAGCACGTGGGCTTCTCTCTAGTTGTGGCCTGTAGGTTTTCCCTCCTCTAGTTGTGGCATGCGGGCTCCAGAGCATGTGGGCACGCAGGCTCTTGAGTTGAGGTGCGCAAGCTCAGTAGTTGTGGCACGTGGGCTGTTGCCCTGCGGCATGTGGGATCTTAGTTCCCTGACCAGGAATCGAACCCATGTCCACTGCATTGTAAGGCAGATTCTTTACCACTGGACCACCAGGGAAGTCCCCAGATCTATACACTTTAAATGGATGCATATAAATGATATTATAACAAGTTGACTGAAAAATGTGTAATGAGAGAATGAAACTCTGCAAATACTTGCACAAGTTCTCTACTTTTCCTCCTGTTCTCAAAGCTGTCTTGGGCATTTATAACATCCCAAAATATGATTGCAATTTCAATAATTCTTGTGTGTGGGTTTTTTTTTTTCTTTCTTTTGGATGCAGCAAACCTAACTCAGAAAACACTTCTAAGTGTAAGAGCCTTGACTTTAATTGGTTACATAACAACAAACAGAACACAAAGCAAACATATACTCATTTGCTCTTTCTTGCTGAAAACATTAGGCACAGATATGCTTCTCACCATGACTCAGACAACAGTTCGTACTTAAACTGCACATGCTCAGTCCGCCTATTCTGATTTTTAATAGGGTTGCTTTAACTATGTGCTACACTTTCTCCCTACTGTTTGGGTTTGGCTCCATCTCTTCTTTTCTGTGCTAATAAAAGGTAGCTCTTGGGCTTCCCTGGTGGCGCAGTGGTTGAGAGTCCGCCTGCCAATGCAGGGGACGCAGGTTTGTGCACCGGTCCGGGAAGATCCCATGTGCCGCGGAGCGGCTGGGCCCGTGAGCCATGGCCGCTGAGCCTGTGCGTCCGGAGCCTGTGCTCCGCAGCGGGAGAAGCCACAACAGTGAGAGGCCCGCGTACTGCAAAAAAAAAAAGGTACCTCTTCATATTTACCACTCTCTTCCTACAGGCGGTGACTGTACAAGACCTCAGGGGGTCCTCTGGTTTTTCTCTTCACATGGGGAACAAATGAAACATTTCTGAACCTTCTTCCTTCTGACAAAGGCAGGTGCAGTGTACATGTGTGCAGATGTCCTCAGGCCTTGTCTGTGACTCCTCTCTTCTTGCCCTTCCAGACTCCAGAGCCAAGTGTACACCTGCCAGGTGAAGGTGAGATTGGAGACAAGGAGCTCCCCCCTCCTCCCACAGAACCAGAGGAACAGGGACGGAGCTGGGAAACAGACCACAGTGATTTTGAGACACTGTCCCACCAGAGTGAAAGTCAATCAGACACAAAAATTGACCCCTTTGAAAGTGCTTCCGACACAGAGCCCCTGCGTGGTGACCTCCTAGGGGGAATCTGCCTCACTCCAGATGGTACCTCTGAGGACAGAGAAGCACGTGGGGGATGCCTTGACACCCCAGCATCCAGAACCCTTCAGGAGCAGCATTCAAGTGGTGTCCCTGGGCTTGACCCAGAAGAGGAACTAGATCTGTACCTTGACTTCAAGGAAGAGTCCTGCAAAAGTGGGGTACGAGCCTTTGCTGCAGTTGCTGGAGAAGTGAGGGCCGTGCACCTTTGGGAGGACGTGGCCGGCCCGGAGCAAGCATCACTGCTGGCAGGGACTGCTGACCACACACAGGGCTGTGCACAGGGGCCCACGGGCAGCTGCGGCCTCCCGCCAGCGAAGGCGGTGACTGTACAAGACCTCAGGGGGTCCTCTGGTTTTTCTCTTCAGAAATCCAGGTCTGAGAGTTATCTGGGCATCCCAGTGGTCTGGCCCTTTCTTCTCTGGTGCTGTGAACAGGGCCGGAGCTGGCCAAATATCCACAACAGGGACAGGGGAACCCAGCTGCCTCTCACAGCCCCTCCGGGAGCCAGGACAGGGAAGGGAAGTACTCCGGGCCCCGCACTGAACACAGGCTTGCTCTGCTCCCAGCCCGGCTTTGATGCCACCTGCCAGCTTCCTTTAGGGACGTCATGCCTCCTACATGCCAAGCTTTGCCATAGCGCCCCAGAAAAGACCGATGACAAGGGCAAGGCATTCCCAAGGCACTGCTGTCAGCACACGACGACGCTGAACAGGGCCCATTCCATAGCAGAGTTTCCCTTAAGATGCTCTGAGGGTCCTCTAGGGCAGAACTTTGTGAAGCTTGGGAGCCATCTGAAGGAAGGGACAGAAGCAGAACGGGCTCCAAGAACACAACACCCTCTTTACCCTGTTCCCACCCAACTGTCTCATTTGCTTCCTGCTTCCCAAAGGAAGGCTCCTGGTTTGGAGGATCAGTGTGAACCCAGCGCTCTTAGCTGGAAAAGGGCCTCTCAGGACACGCCCTCTGAAAGCCTCTGGCTGGAAAACCAGTCCGGACAGGAGTCTAGGTCCCGCCCAGTCTCTTCATGCCTTACTTCAGAGTTGGTGAGCTGCAACGCAGAGGAAGTGCTGGTACCAGCCGAGGGCAAGTTGGGACACGGCCCAGAAAGCAGAACAGAGGAACCCCTGAGCGCTGGCCTGGCACCAAATGCTGAGGACGTGAGTGATAAACAGAAGCACCTTCAGGACATTTCTGTTGAGGCAGGAAACCAAACCAGTAATTACACATCAAAGTATATCCTCAGTGAGAAAAGAAAGCCACCTGATAGGGCCAAGTTCCCACATCATCCCAGCAATAGCAGGTCACAGGTGTGGAACAAAGACTGGGGGGTTTGCTCTGGAGTAAGCAATCACTCAGATGCTCCAGAGACCACCCTGAAATCAAGCACGACAGACACTTCAAAGGAAGCAGAAGACGTGATGGTTCCAGACCCCAACTTCACGAAAAATGCCTTGCAGGGTTTTTCAGGAGTCGCAGCAGTCACCGTGTCTCACTGCCCCTGTGGGGGTGAGGAGTGTGACCAGGGGCACGAGGGTGGTGCCACACCCTTGGCAGAGGGCCTCCAGCTAGAGCCCAAAGCAGACACGTCTTCTAAGGGCACGCTCGTCATTGTAGCTGTTGAGCAGAAAGGGCTGCAGTCCACCAGGAGGAAAGTGGGTCCTCTTCCAGAAACACAGTCCTGTGAGTTTCTGGAGGAAAGACCAGGGTCTCCCTGCAGTGCTGGAGCGACCCCATGTGTGGTTTCCCGGCCTGGGAAACCACAAACTTACCGCAATGAGTGTGAGCTGCCAGCAGCCCTCGGACTGCGAAGTGAAGACGAGGCTCTTCGGCAGGTGGCCCCGGCCGTAGAGCTTGGGACAGCTCTGATCCCCCAAGCGGCTTCGGAAGAGAGGCCCCCGGGCGGGGAAGAGACGTCTTCCCAAGGGCGCGCCGCAGGGGGCCTGCTGAGCACAGGGGCGCCTGCGGAAGAGAACCCGCCCGGGGCCAGCCAGAGCTCCGGGACCCGGGCGGCCAGGGAAGAAGCTACTGGGGCGCCCGGGGCCCAGGGCCCCGAGGACACGCTAGAAGTGCGCGCAGCAGAGGGCGGTGCGGACAAGCGGCCCGGCGCCCAAGCCCCTGCCCGCACCCGTGCGCTCCGGCTGCCCGGACCGCCCCGCCGGCTCCGCCAGGCTTCTCGGGAGCCCGGGAGGCGGCTGGCGTTTCCCAAGGTGACCTCCTTACGGAAAGGCAAGCCCTCGGCCGCCGAGAGCCCGGGAGGGGGCCGCCCTGGGGGTTCTAACTGCCTAGAGGAGCTGTGCACGGACAGTCTGCCCCCGGTGGCCAGCGGGCAGAGCGCGTCGGGCCGGGTCGGGACTCCACGCTGCGCGCACGCCAGCGCCTCTCCCGAGATGGGCTTCCAGGACGCAGGCCGAGGGCTCGCAGGGCTGACGGAAGGGGGCCATGTGGAGACGCGTGGGGACCTCGGTAGCAGAAGACAGTCCTCAGAAAGCTGCGATGCCAAGAGACTCAAAACCCCAGAGAAAAGGCTCAGCGCGAGGTTGGCCTCAGCTCATAAGACCCTTGCAAATTTTTTTGAGTCAAGAGTTTTAGAAAAAGAGAACACTGGTGAATGTTTTCCAGGTTCTTTCAAGGACCAGAAGAAAAAGAGCAGGCTGCACCAGACCTCCTGGCGCACAGTTCTGAAAAGCAAAGATGCTGAAGGCTCCAAAAGGCCCTCCTTAGTGAGTCTGGTTCCAGGACCGGAGATCTTGAATCCCCCCAGACCTTCCCCACTAGGCACCAGTAGCCACCGCGAGGAACAGGCAGAGAACAAAGAGAGCTGCTACGTTTTTAGAGATCACTGGACACTCCCACATTCCCCCACACCTTTGTCATCCAGCAGTTTGGTCTCTTCAGATAACAGGAGAAAAAGTGAACCAACTATCAAATGTACAAGCACTCAGGAAAGTGGTAAATACCTACCTTCAGGTAACTTTCCTGAAAAGTCTTGGCCTTTGTCACCCACCAGTCCTGGGAGGCAGCAGGCTGGGATCAGCCACACCCTTCCCTCCAGCTCCACCTGTTGCCTGGTATATGGAAGCCAAGGTGTGCCCTGTAAGCCCCTGAGCCCCAAGCCCCAGAGCCCCAGGCCTGGTGCCCAGCGGGTGGATTTCCACTACCCTGGCAGGGGCAGGGCCATCTCAGCGGTTTCTCTTGGAAGCTCCAGCCATGTGGATAGCAGCTCAGAGGCCCCTGGAAGCCCCAAGGCCTGGACAAGCCTCCTACTTTCTCTGCAGGCACTAGACCAGGGTGAGAAGGAAGAGAGCAGGGAAAGAGGCCAGCATCCCTGTGGCCTGAGCACAGCACCCTCGCTTAAGGACCTTCTTGGGAGTCAGGTGAGTTATCTGTGCCTCACACCAACCTGTTTATTTACCTTCTAAGGCACGAGAAGGAGGGGACCACACATGACATTTCCCTAAGTGAGGGGAGAGGAGGGAAAGGAAGGCCAGTCTGCCTTCCATGGAGACCGTCCCACTAACACACATGAATGCCCCACCTGAATCAACCCAGCCGGACCAGTTTCTTGGAATTTGCCAAACAAGTGGGAATTGGCATTTCATTGTAATTTTGTGTGGTCTCTTTTTTCCCTGTGTAATTCAAGCTACCTGAATTCCCGTTTCTATCAACTGCCTGTTCATAGTCTTTGGCCATTTTGTATCGGGTGATTGAGGCAGGCTTTCTTATGTCAACCTTCATCCTTCCCCGCTCTGAAATTTGAAAAAGAAATTTCCCCACGTTGTTTTCTAGTATATTTATGGGTTTATTTTTTAAATATAAACCTGATCCAGTTGAATTTGTTTCAGTGTAAGGAGAGAGATTATTGGTGCTTCTGAAATTCCTGGTAAAAGAAAAGGGTCTCTCCCCCAAAGCAAACGCATCCACCGACGACAGGGAACAGGCTGGTGGGTCAGGCACAAGAAAGGGTATACCAGCTTGGGATTTCTCACGAGTCAGGCTGCCCTCGGAAGGAGGTAGCTTTGGGGAAATTCCGGAAAGAGTAGTCTTGGGACTGTGGAAGCAAACCTCCCTTTTCCCTGTCCACTCCTGAAACCATGTGCCCTCTCCCCTTTGCTTCTTTAGACAAATAGGTGTAGTGTCTCCCACGTGCCCAGCGCTGTGCTGGTGTGGAAGAGCCTCAGGTTCAGCGTTAGCCTCCGAGCAGGGCTAAGTGCAGGCACCCTGCACGCTGCCTCCCGGGTCCTGGCGAGGCCCCACCTTTGGCGAGCTGGCCACTCTGCCTGCGGCAGGTGTCAGCCACCCAGCTGTGCCGAGGGTCTCCCTCTCCCCTGAGCTCAGGCTCTCTAGCCTTCCTACGGGTTCTGATGTACACGCATATGAGGCCTTCTCTCTCGTAAGATTCGAAAGAGAAAGAGGAATAGGAACAAACGTTTATCCAGCGCTAGCTTCGTGCCTGGTCCTTTCCTGGCCCCTTTTCAATCAGCTCACTGCTTGCTAAACACAGCAGGCTGTCCGGGTGTTTGCTGAAGCCCCCGTACCTGCTCCTCCCATAGACGACACCTCCTGAGCACAGGGACAACCTGTGGGCTGCAACCAACAGGCGTGGGGCACTCACTCCGGCCTCCAGGCCCTGTGTGGGCTGCTTAGGAGGAAGCGAGCTGGGAGAGGTGGGAGTTCACAGGGTGTGTTCCCAGCACGCTGGAATTAGGCATTAGACATTCAAAGGTGATCACTACCGGCTGAAATTACGTCACTTTATTCAACATATGTCCTCATCGGTAAAGAGTTAAACATTAACTTTCAAGCATTTTTTTCCTTGTTGTGTTACTTATTTTTTTTAATTATTATTAGTAAAGTTAAAAACAAAGTCAATGCAGATGTAGAAGAGAAAAGGTAACAAAACCTCCCAATCCCATTCCACAGAAGGAAATAACGTCAGCAGTCTATGTGTGATCTGCATTATCACCACACATACACAGGATTGTAAGGGGGAGATTTGGGAAGAGAGGGTTACACGGTGGGATCATACCCACATATTACTCTGTAACTATCTTGTTTACTTTAATAATACAGCATGGGCTTCCCTGGTGGCACAGTGGTTGAGAATCTGCCTGCCAATGCAGGGGACATGGGTTCGAGCCCTGGTCTGGGAAGATCCCACATGCCGCGGAGCAACTAGCCCCGTGAGCCAC